GTTGAGAGAGGCCGTTTGATTCTCAAGCGTATCGTCATTGCAAATGGTGCAGTGATCGGGTCACGCTGTGTCGTCGAGGGTGGCGCAACTATTGGTGAAGAGGCAGAAGTCGCGCCACTTTCGCTTGTACCCTCTGGTATGAACGTACCCAGCTTTCATCGCTTCCATGGATCGCCAGCACGTCTTGACAGGGTTGTGAAAGATGACAGCTCACCAAAGCCCAAAGACACCAGGCCATCAAGAGCTCGGGCAGCAGCCATGCTATTTGGTAATTCATTCGTCGCATTCCTGGTATTGCCTCTCTTGTACTTCCTGCCGCAGATACCAGGTTTGTTACTCTTCGACGTCCTCGACATTCGATCTATCAGTGGATGGCAGCAAGTTGCGATTCTGTCGGTTCCAATCGCTTTTGCGTATCAAATCTTGGTTTTCGCTCAGCTGCTGGTCTACCGCCATCTGTTCCTAGGCCGTCTGAAGGAAGGTACATACAGTATCTACAGCATGTTTTATCTTCGGAAGTGGTTCGTTGATAGATTGATGGACCTTGCCTTGGACGTGCTCCACCCTGTCTTCGCTACTCTTTACATTGTTCCATTCCTCCGGGCACTGGGAACAAAAATTGGCAAACGTGCTGAGATCTCGACTGCACGTAACATCCCCTTCGAGCTTCTGGAAATTGGTGAGGAAAGCTTCGTTGCAGACGCAGTAGTCATGGGAGAGGATGTGGTGAGGAGAAATCAGGTGACTCTCAAGAAGACAAAGCTCGAGTCTCGTGCTTTCGCTGGCAATGCATCTGTGCTTCCTCAAGGCACTACACTAGCGTCTGGAACTTTGCTCGGTGTGCTATCCATAGCGCCGCCTGCAGACACCCCGATGGCAAGCAATAGTTCATGCTTTGGATCTCCACCAGTCTTGATGCCCAATCGTCAACGGGCGGAAGGCCACGAAGACAGTCTACTTTTCCGACCATCTGCAGGCCGGATCGCTGCTCGACTTCTTATCGAAGGCCTTCGCATTGTCCTACCACGCGCCATTATGATCTTCGGTCTCGGATTTTCACTGCAGGTTGCCCACGACGGCTACCACAAGATTGGCGCGGTTCGCACCTTACTCATGCTACCACTCTTCTATCTCTTCTTGTTCGCCCTACCTGCGTTGACATTCACAGCTTCGATCAAATGGATCCTCATCGGACGGTACAAACCAGCTGAATGGCCTCTTTGGAGTCTCAACGTATGGCTCAGCGAAGCGGTGACGAGTACCTGGGAAACGCTCACCGAGCCACTGTTGGCGGCCCACTTAGTCGGTACTCCTTATCTAGCCATGTGTTTCCGCCTTATGGGCGCTTCTGTCGGCTCAAGGGTGACACTTCTCTCCAGCGACATCACAGAATACGACTGTGTCACTTTAGGAGACGAGTGTATCATCAACACAACCTGCGGTGCGCAGACTCATCTCTTCGAAGATCGCGTCATGAAGGTCGGTAACGTATCTATTGGTCGCCGCGCCTGTCTCAAAACGTACTCAATCTGTTTACCAGGGAGTAAGGTTGAAGATGAGGCACAACTTGGGAGTTTGTCACTGCTTATGAAAGGGGAGGTTTTGCCTGAAGGAACTGCATGGGAGGGTGCACCAGTTGTACCGCGAGCAAAGAGGGGCGGTTTCGACAGCGAAGTCCATTCGAGTGGTGATGTTCCCTTGCCGGTGCTTTGAAATTTCGTCTATTCTCATGTTTCTTTCCTGCACTTGCTCCTGGTTACACATTCGCACTTTCTTATCATCTACTTTGTTTCGAAATGCTACAATAACTCCGAAGAGAATATCCTGCTACTCATAACTTCTGTAATATATGTTGTATCTATACAGTCAGATACATTGTTGTAGACAAGAAGTACTGCAAGAACAACTAGATCCTGAGGGCACCACCCTCAACCAATATGTGTGTCAACTTCAGCTCTCGCTCCCGCAACTTCACCCTGTTATTTTCGGGACTTTTCTCCGGTAGGGGCTCAAGTGAAGGTACGAGTAGTTTGCATAGCAACAGCTAAGTGAAACAGCTTCTTGCAGTTGAAGGGAATAACTATAAGATCGTTAGAAGATTTAGCGCGAGACAATAGAGACAGCTGACGCGTTTCGATCAGGAACAACACATTAAACTTCGTTGCATTCGCGTAAAGCTTCATCCTGCCATGAATCATCGTACTACATCCAATGTCCCCTATCGTACATCACTCGTGAACATTGTGGATGTTTCCACTATCATCGATCTCTACCTTTGCCCTTTTCAAACTAGCTTTCCTTGGATTGGGCGCCTCAAAGATCTCCTTAAGCTCCTCGAGAGTCTTGCCTGCAGTCTCAACGAAGAAGAAGAAGATAAGGGCAATCTCGATGCAAATCCATGCAATGTAAACGAGGTAAAGCTTCCATCCGATCTTCTCAATTCCTACTGAGATACCGTAGGTGTTGACCACCATAGCGACGTTGAGGAACAGGAAGTTGAGACCAGATCCCTTTGCGCGAGTACGGTTCTCTAAGCATTCAACGGCATATAGGGTTTGTAGGGGGGTCCAACCCCAGGCGAAAAAGATGCCGAAGAGGTAAATGGAGACGATGGTGCCGTAGGCAAGGTTGTTGTCCTTGGTCGCGGTAGCAGTGAAGGCTGTGAGGAGAACGTAGGCGAAGAGACCACCCCAGAGACCGCCCATAAGCATCTTTCGGCGACCAAGTTTGTCGAGCAGAGTGGCACCGTAGATGGCAGCAATCATCGAGAAAATTGGGTTAATCGCGTTGATGAGCAATTGCTTGTTAGGATCTGTGATGCCGGCATTCTTGACTGCAGATTTGAAAATACGAAGTCAGTGTATGTCTCACATGCATTTCGTATAGGCACAACTTACCCATTGCGGGCATGAAATAGCTGACAACGTTGTTACCACTCCATTGGCCGAAGAAAGCCATTGCAATGACCATGGCCAATCGGTAACGTGCTGCCTTGGTATTGCCAAGCTCACGGAAGTCCCACCAGGGGTTGTCGTTGCGAGTGGCAGCAAAATCCTCGGTGATCTCGTGTAGCTGAAGCTGTACGATAGGAGAGTTGGGATTGCCGTTTCCGTGGTATTTTGCCATGATAGCGATGGCTTCCTCTCTGCGGTCATGCGCCAAGAGCCAACGAGGCGTTTCTGGGAAAAACATGATCAAGACCATAACGATAGTAGGGAGAATGCACTGGACAATGGTGGGGATTCTCCATGCCCATGAAGAGTTGCCCATGTGAAGATTTGTACCGTACGTCGTCCAACCTGCCTAGTGTTGTGAAGAGACGAAGTTAGTAGATGTCTCACATGCATCTCGTACAAGCACAACTTACCAGAATATTGCCAACCCACCAGAAGTTGTTGTACATTCCAGCCATGGTTCCACGATAGGCAGGGTGCGCGAGCTCAACGGTGTAGGCAGGACCAGCAGCAGAGGCGATGGACGCGCCAAACCCGAGGAGGAAGCGACCAGCAATGAAGTGACCCATCTCGTTGGCTGTAGCTTGAACGGCGGTTCCAACGAGCACTAGCGCGCAGCCCACGGCGATGCAGACCCGGCGACCATATCCATCAGCAAGAAATCCACAGCTAAACAACGTTAGTCGCAAGAAAAACTGGTACCTACGTCTGACGCCTACTTACAATGGAAAAGCGGCAATTTGGCCTAGATTGTAGATGATGAAGATGATACCAGTGCTGGATCCTTCACCAGTCAAACCAAACGTGTTTTGGTAGGCTTTCATCGCGTTGATGGATCCCATGAGAGAGCTGTCGAAACCGTTGAGCGTAGAGACAAGGTAGCCAATGCCCATGATCATGTAGAGCTGGATCATGCCTCGAGACCACAGCTTCGGCTTTTCTGCCTCCATGGCAGCGGCTACACGCTATCAGTATTGACTCTTACCATTCACTGAGGCTTCAAAATGAAACTTACTTAGAGCTACTGAGGCTACGTTAGCCTCCTTGACGTTCGCATGCTTGTTCATGTCATCGTCGACCTGGCTGAGTTGGTGCGTAACAGCGCCCATCTCATCTTTCTTCTCCGCCATCTTGAATATGCAGCCGGCAAAGACTGGAGAAGATCTGGAATTGTGGAGGGAAAAAATGGAACTGCTCTCCACTCGATGGCCAATGTGCAAAGATGCTCAAGGATTCCGGAATACTGGGTCTTTTTATACTGTACAGGCTTCTCCGCAAAACAATTCGCGCTTGCAACCCCATGGCTCCGAGGCTCCTACCATGCTTGCCTGACCCGATGCATGGTTTGCTCTGGATGCAGTGATGCGGCGTTCAGGGCGCCACGCCGTTAGCCAAGTATGCTTAATGAGCGGTAATAGCACCGCTTTAGGGTCGGAGTGACAGTGGAGTGACTGGGAAATTTTTTAACTTCCAAGCTCACTATGCCTCGAAGGCGCTATAGCCAAGTAATAGGCCCTTCTAATAAAGCGGATCCAGGCCCAGAAGCAGTTCGGCAAACGGACGGGCTTCCAAAAGCATACCAGTTCTAGAGCGCCACGCGTGAAGTCTTTACGATGCAGATGAATCAAGAAATGAGCCGGTCGGGTTGCCAGTGAATCGTAAAGAACCAGGCGAGGGTGGATATGGTGTAGTACGGCTGGGCAGCGGGGTCTGGGGATGGATTCGTGGAGAAGGAGGCAGCCGAATGCAGAAGCTGCCTTGTTGATCTGGCAGGGGCCCCCGCTCGCGCCCGGACCATCCAACCCCCGATGCACGCTTCCACATGCAACACGCGCCGTCAATTGCCGTCACGTTTTCTAGTTCATGTCACCAGAGGGGCAGATGCCCGGTTCCCTTGGCTTTCACCATGTGTGACCGGATGGGTTTCCTGATGGGTCAAAGTCGCGTTGTGTACGGCCGTATAGTGGGGCTACAACGACTGTATCAGACAAGAAGAACGTAGAGCAGAGGTTTGTGAGAGTACCATCAACTTTCAACTCATCCATCATGGCTTCAGGTCAACACCCAGCAAGCGTTCCGGACTGGAACAATCTTGACATCCTTCACAAGAATACGCTGCCTGCACGCGCATACTTCCACAACTACAAGTCCGAGGCTGACGCACTTGGTTCCGATGTGAACAAATCTACGACACATAGCCTCTCCGGCACGTGGAAGTTCCAGCATTCATTCTCACCCTTTGAAGCTCCTGAGGGCTTTGAGTCGACTTCGTTCGACACATCGTCATGGAGCGACATTGCTGTGCCAGGCATGTGGCAGTTACAGGGATTCGGCAAAGGCCCCCAGTATACGAACGTCATTTATCACATCCCAGTCGATCCTCCAAACGTTCCTTTCACTGAGAACGAGACTGGGTCGTACGTACGTAAGTTTGAGGTTCCGAAACAACTCCAGGATGGTCAACTTCGACTCCGGTTTGAGGGCGTTGATGCTGCTTTCCATGTATGGGTAAACGGAAAGGAAGTCGGATATTCTCAGGGCAGCAGAAACCCAGATGAGTTTGATATTACCTCGGCTGTTGATCTTAATGCCGAGAATACCCTGGCCGTCAGAGTGTATCAACATTGCGACGGAACTTACATTGAAGATCAAGACCAGTGGTGGCTAAGTGGCATGTAAGTAAAGTCTATTTTGAGACAAATCATAAACTCACAACTACAGATTTCGTGACGTCTTCTTGGTGGGTTTTCCCAAGGCGTCGCGCATCGAAAATGTCTTTGCTCAGACGATCTTGGATCCATCCTACACCGACGCAGAATTGAAGATCAAGGTCAGCGCGACCGGATCTGGCAAGCTCACAGCTAAACTCCTGAATGGGAAAAAGCAAGAAATTGCTTCGTCAGATGCAGACATCAAGAGTGACGGCGTAACTGAACTCAGCATCCAAGTAAAGGACCCTCTAAAGTGGACTGCTGAATCGCCCAACCTGTACCACCTCGTGGTCTCTACCGGTGATCAAGTTATCGCCCAGCGTATCGGCTTCAGACAAGTTGAGATGAAAGACGGCTTAATCAAAATCAATGGTAAGAGAGTCGTTTTCCGCGGGGTCAACCGTCACGAACACCACCCCACTTTTGGTCGTGCTGTGCCATATGAATTCATGAAAGAAGACCTTCTAATCATGAAGCGTCACAACATCAACGCCATCCGTACCTCCCATCAACTCAACGACCCACGACTATACGATCTTGCAGACGAGATGGGCTTTTGGGTGATTGACGAAGCTGATTTAGAGTGCCACGGCTTTGAAAGTATCGCCGATGCTGCTTTGTCAAAAGAAGAGCGCAGCCTTCCTTTCCGTGAGCGCCAGCTTCTGACTAGGTCAAAGGCCGCGGAATGGACAACCGACAATCCAGCCTGGACGCATGCGTACGTGGACCGTGCAGAAGCACTCATCAAGAGAGATCAGATGCATCCGTCTGTCATCATATGGAGTCTCGGTAATGAAGCTTTCATGGGACGTAACTTCGTGGCCATGTACGAGCACATCAAAAAGTACGACGACAGCCGGCCTGTCCACTACGAAGCAGACATCTACGCGGATACTATGGACATGTACTCCAGGATGTATCCCCCAATCGACGAGATTATCAAATTCGGTGAAGACAAGAGCAAGAAGAAGCCACTGGTTCTTTGCGAATACGTAAGGTATACTCTGTCGAACTCCAGTGCTATGACTGACTATATTAGATCCACGCCATGGGTAACGGTCCTGGTAATATCAAGGAATACATCGACGCTTTCTACAAATACCCAACACTTCAGGGAGGTTTCGCATGGGAGTGGGCGAATCACGGTCTTCTTACCAAGGACAAGCAAACTGGTGAGGAGTTCTATGCCTATGGCGGTGATTTTGGTGAAGAAGTTCACGATGCAACATTCGTTATGGACGGTCTTGTCAACTCCGACCATTCGCCCAATGCAGGCTTGATCGAGTATAAGAAAGCCATCGAACCTGTGCAGCTTCTGGGATCGACTGATTCGAAGGCTACGTTTATTAACCGGTACGACTTTATCACACTCAATCACTTGAGCTGCCAGTACACATCAACTTCCGCATCTGGAAGTGGAAGTGTATCAGGAAGCCTAGAGGTTCCTTTTGGTATCTCGCCTGGTCAGACCTTTGATTTACAGCTTCCAAAGATTGAAAGTTCAGGAGAGGAGATCCTACTTAGCATCTCGTTTCAGCTAAAGGAGGCTACCCCATATCTCAAGGCAGGTTTCGAGATCGCGACAGCACAGATATCCGTCACACCAGCAACGCCATTGAAGCGACCTCAGTCATCGGGCAAGCAAATCACTGTTGAGAAACCATACAGGAACACCCTCAAGATCACGGCGGATCAAGCCATCTGGGAGTTCAACACTCTTCATGGTAGCCTCACATCCTGGATACAAGGTTCTACCGAGCTTCTCTCCAAGGCACCAGAAATTGACATCTTCCGCGCACCTACCGACAACGATATCCCACAAGACGGTTGGGACTGGAAAGACAAGCAACTGCATCACGCGAAACCATTGACTCAGAAGGTCGAATGGTCACAGTCTGGCTCAGAGACCCTCAAGGTTACCGTGCATCAACGTGTCGCACCTCCAGTTCTCTCTTGGTCTGTCGACTGCGTTCTTACGTACACTTTCAGCGCCAACAGTACTCTGTCTGTGCATGTTGTCGGTACACCAAAGGGTGAAAACCTACCTCGTACCCTTCCACGCATCGGTCTCGTTATGGAGCTTCCTAAGCAATTCCAACGAGTCGAATGGTTTGGCCGCGGCTTCGGCGAGACCTACCGCGACAGCAAGCTCTCACAACCTGTGGGCAAGTACACAGCATCCAGCGTCGACGAACTCTGGGTCGATTACGAGGTGCCTCAAGAATCATCAAACCATACAGACACTCGTTATCTCAGCCTCACAAACGGTAGCGGCGCAGGACTGCTCGCTCAATTTGCGGACCAGAAGAGTGAACAAAGGAAGCTGTTCGACTTTCAAGTCAGTCATTACAGGATGAAGGATGTTGCGGCCGCGGATCATCCGCATGAACTGAGGAAGAAGAAGAGGGAGGAGGTTGTGCTTAGGTTAGACGCGGAACATCATGGACTGGGCAGCGGAAGCTGTGGACCAAGGACGCTGGATGAGTACAGTCTACTGTGCCGACCTTTTGAATTCGAGGTCGTGTTGCAGGCTCCATAGGTCTCGGTATCGTCGCATAAGGCATAGAATTATTGAGGGAACACCTTACAAAGGGCATGAGATAGATCTACGACTGTGTTTGCGACGCATCTGAGATATCAGATGTTGCCTTTACAATCTCACTCCGAGTTCCACAGAAAAAATTGCGACGTTGCAGATTGATGGAAGCAAGACGCGTTGCCCTGGCGAGCGTTTGTCCGCTCTCTCTCACTTTCGCCACTGTCGCAGTCGCGACTGCCACATTTTCAGTCCACCCCACTATCTATAAGTCCACGCTGCATTTGCCACCAGTTTCCCCTTATAACCTCTCCAAAACTGACAATATGGCGAGTGGAATGAAGAAGCGACGGGTAAGTGCCAATGGGACTGCATCAGCCTGTCGCAAACGGATAGCCGCGAAGACGCAGCTACAACTGCATCGCGACAGGGCTGATGACATACAGAGTTCGCAATCTCCAGCTCACGGTACAGCTACGAAACGCGCGCGTGTGCCCTCCGCCAGCACCTCGCACCGCGTCCAACACGCCGAACGTGCTGTTCAGTCACGCGCTGTATCGGTCCAGGATACGTATACAACCCAGAACCATAATCGATCGACCAGCCTTTCCACCGGAGAAGACTGGCTGTTTCGCGTTAAGGTCATCTCGTCTGCAATAGACCTTGATAATGATTTATTCAAAAGCGCAGTACAGGGCCTAGTCCGGATTTGCTTCCCTGAAGGCGTTCTAGATCAGCTTGGGTCACAAATCCTGGAGCAGCACATGCGAGAAGAGATGGCTCCGGAGCATAACATACGGAAGATGACAGAGATCTTCCGTACTGAAATGGTACAGCGTGTAGCATCGCTACTTGCGGAGCACCTTGACACGGTGACCAAGGTCGAAACGATGGTGCAAGCTACGATAGTAGCCAGTGTGAGGCTCCATGGAAGTGACCTCGGAGGTGATATTCTGGGGCATATGATCGCGAGTCTACTCCAACTGAAAGCGAAAGCTTCAAAAAACCCTACGGATTGGTTGACTAAGATTGGGGGTCTACAAGAAACGGTCGGTAGTGATGAAGATATGGGCACCATTAACATTTCCGATGTTGAGTCTCCAACATCTGAGAAAAAGAGAAAGCGCGAGAGACGAACTAAGAAGACAAAGCGTAGGCGCACTCCGGTGAAAGATGATACCCCCAAAAACGCTAACATGGACTTCTATTCAGCAGCACTTCCGACTGAACGGCGCGTCTCGACAAACAAGGACAAAAAGATCTCCCCCAAGTGGCAATGGAACGTTGATGGGACACAGCTCGCGGATGACGATGTGGCTGATGCTTTCCCACGCACAAGCAGTCTGTTTGCCTATCACGCATTGCCTATCGCTAAACGAAAACTTGGGTCGCAAGCATCGAGGAAAGAGCTCCGGTATGAGATGCAGTCTTTACTCGATGGTATGCCTCCAGATGAGTTTGAGAAGTGGGTGGAGAGCTTACAGAAGCTTCTCAGCGGCGACCGTGAGATGCTAACGCGACAAGATGTTGCTGCTTCGAGCGTTGACCGGCAACTCTCTCGTGCCACACCAGCGCCAGTCGACTTGCGTATGAAGGCTAGAATCGATAAGAACACAAAACCTGGTGAATCTAGTAGAGTGAGAGGGCGCGCAATCCATGTTGAGAACGACTATGAGGAGGCTTTCGTCAAATGCGAGACCGCCAAAGGATCAGTCAAAGCAGGAGGGAACCCCCGGACCAACAACATCGCAGAAGCAACGAAGGCCTTTCGTCATTTGTCCACGGAAGAATGTGAGCTCGACAGGCCACTCCCCAGAGTAGAGGTAGCAGAAAGGCAGAGAGTTCAAGATCTACAGAGCAGTGGGAACATTGACAGTGTACGTCAATGTCACATCAGTCCAATTCTAGTACTAAGTATTCTTAGACCTTCGGTATGCCGGTACTGAGCCTGCTATGGGGATCGGACAGCCTGACTGCAACCGAATGTATGAACGATTCCACCAGAATCACGCAAACGATCATGAGTAATATCAAACATCGCATTTCAGCAGAGGTAGATTACCGCCATCCAATTGTCGTAATTACAGCTAACCCACCGCAGCGTATCGTTGTGAGTGGTTTGGGAGGCATGAACAAGACTCGCACAATGGCCGAGCTCCAAGATGCCATCACTCTTGCATTCCCCAAACCTGGACAACACTATGGATTCATGAGAATCAAGAAGGACATCGAAACGGCACTCATTCCGTGGGTCATTGCGGAGCCGAGTGCCTTCCCTGAACTGAAGGCTATGCCTTTCGTTTTCGCTCACTCTGTTCCAGTATGGTTTCCAACAATGCGTACTAGCAATAGAGACTAACTCAATCATATAGTCTGTTCCAGCTGTCCTTAATATACTTTTCGGCACCTGGTCCTCTATAGCCAGCCTGGGTGGATCTGAGATGTGGGATAGCATCTTACAAGCTCTCCAGGCGCGAGGTATTTCTGAAGTGGGTATTCCTTTCTGAGTGGGTACACAAAGCGGCACTGACGTGGAGATAGGCATCAGTTGGAGCCGCCAACATCGACTGCTTGCAGATTGATAGTCTTTGCGACAGAACCAGACTTTCAGAGATGACACGACGTGCTTTACTCGAACGCGTCATGCGCCGCTTAGCCTTCTCGCATAGGGATAAGTTTCCAGAGCTAAAGGCTACGCGTGTCGTGACGACGTGGGAAAGGAAGACAGGATTGACGTGGTGAGAATCAGGCAGTGCTACCTATGTCGTGTCTCGAAAGTATAGCATTAGAATGCCCAGAATGGTATGAGTAGTTCTTCATCAATTGCTATCCACTGCCAGCAGCTTTACGAACGCTAAGCATTGTTGACCACTTGTGCCATGCAGGTGGCGGATCGCCAGCCTGTTGGTCCGTCAACCCGGCCGGTCTTCCTCTGGTCTGCAACGGACCTGCCCATGAAGCATTCCATAAATTGTCTACCACGACTATCCTAAAAATCAGAAAAGCAAAACCCGAAAACTTCCACTATTACAACCAATACGTGCATGTAGCACTCTGTATACGCAAGGCACCGACTGTGCGAACGCACTCGTTATCATTCCCTATATTACTCACATTACACACATTACACACATCGTAGAACACGTACCGGTCTTCAAGGCTTCAGAGTGCTATTGAGAGGAGTAGCGGCAGGATTAGGGCCGAAACGTTGGAGAAGTGTAGATGTGGGGTCCTTCTCCGCAATGTGGGGAAAGACGCCTACACACATGTAACTAGCGCCAGCATCCATGTATTCACCTAGCCGAAGAGGTCTGTTCCTGCAGAATATATTAACGGCTTGTCATAGAGATACGTCTCGCCTTCTCGCAACACACATCTGGCATCGTTTACAATGACACCATTACCAGCTTACATCAATCCGGAGTACCAATCAACACATTACAACCTGTTCAAGGACTCTGTAACCGTTCCGCTAAAGTCGGTACTACCGCCTGGTATTGACAGAGACGCATTCGATACAGCAATCAAGAGATATAAAAGTATTGTTGGCGATGCGCAGGTATACGAAGGCGAGGCCTTGACAGAGTATATCGACCCGTATGAGTTGCATGAGGCGGAGGGGACGCGTAGAATGCCCAGCGCAGCCGTCCGACCCAAGAATGTAGAGGAACTGAGAGAAGTGCTGAAGATCTCGAACGAATTCGCCATACCAGTGTGGACATTTTCAAGAGGCAAAAACCTTGGGTTAGTAGACTCCTTCACACATCTCAGTCGATCGTCTAACAATCGGATAGATATGGTGGACCAGCTCCTCGCGTGACTGGCTCCATAGCCCTCGATCTTCATCGCATGGACAAAATCATCGAAGTAAGCGCTGAATACGCTTACGCTGTCGTCGAACCTGGGGTTACCTTCACCGAACTCTACGATTACTGCGTTAAGAACAAGCTCAATGTTTGGCCTTCGGTACCATCCTTGGGATGGGGTTCCGTTGTTGGGAACACGCTTGATCGAGGCACAGGCTTCACGCCTACAGCAACACATCATCAGCATATTTGTGGGGTCGAAGCTATGCTGGCGAACGGTGAGCTCGTACGAACAGGACAATTCGCCGTTTCCAACTCACCGTCTGCGCATCTCTCAAAGTTCACATTTGGACCTAGCATCGAGGGCTTGTTCCTGCAGTCCAACCTTGGTATCGTAACTAAACTCGGCATCTGGCTTACACCCGCACCCCAGGCCTTCATGTCCTGCTCATTTGATATGCCTGACTTCGACGACGTGGAGACGATTGTCGATGTATTTGGGCCACTGCGACGTGACGGCCTGCTTCCAAACACAGTCTACGTATCGAACGTAACGGAATGGCTAGGCATGATGGGTCCACGAGAAGAGTTTTGGCCGCACAATACTTCAATACCAGATTGGAGAGTGAAAGAGCTACAGAAGCAGTTCGATCTGGGCTACTGGAATGCCAAGTTTGGTTTATATGGCGCGAGAGATGTTGTGCAAGCGCATTTCGATCAGTTGAAGAAGATCATCGAGAAGAAAGCGCCGAAAGGTCGGTTGATGGGTAAGATATTCTCTGCGCCGGATGGAGAGACGTTGGATCCTGCATCCGTTCCCGAAATGGACGGTGGCTTCTTCGTTGGTATACCGACTCTCTGGTCGCTTCCCATGGTGAAGTTCCGCCTGCCCAAATCTGGGGGCGGTATCGGCGCGCATTACGACTACAGTCCCATCATTCCTTCCAAAGGCAAGGAGATCCTGAGCTGGGTCAAGACAGCGAAGAAGATCTGCGAAGCTGACAACTTTGATTTGTTCTGCGACTTCTTCATGCACGAGCGACATGGTAAGTCCTTACTGTCAAATGATGGGTGACGATACATACTGATGTTGATGTATGTATATAGTCATCTTCGTCAACATGTTTACCTTTGACAAGACGAACGCGACGCACCGGAAAGCCGTACAGAATATCTTTGACAACTTGTTTGAAGCGGGAAAGAAAAGAGGGTACAGCAAGTATCGTAGCCATGTGAACACCATGGGTAAGCATTGATTTTCTCGGAGCATGAGTGCCTGTCTACAGCCACTAATTTTGATTCAGATCGGGTCGCTTCGCTGTACGATTTCAATGACCATGCGTATCGAAGATTTGTTGAGACAATCAAAGACGCTGTTGATCCTAATGGTATACTGTCGCCAGGAAAGCAAGGAATTTGGCCAAAGCGATTCCGAGATGATGAGGTTTCGAAGGCGCATCTATGAGCTGCGGTGTCCCTGACACTTGAGCTGCAAGCGCAGCAACGTGCTTATGTATTATTGAATGCATTGACCGAATTGAGGTAGCTGGCTTGATCTCTCGTTCTGCATACCTGTCTCTGTGATGATGCCTCGGGCTCGAGCTACTACCTCTCATGGCCTCAACACACTGCACTGGCACCTGTACGAACCATAGGCAACATGCTGTGGACACACGGGGACTCGGGTCGACACGACAGCAGTGCACACCGGCTTGTAAGCTGGAGAAAGATGTATGTCCAATTATAGTCCTACACATCCACGAGATGTTCATGGGTAGGGTGGAGAAGACACGGCTCTGCTAAAAACCAATTTCAGTCTCCCACAGAGAGAAAAGTTGCTTCCAGGCCATAGAGAGCTGAACCCGGGAGCAGGCAATAGTGGGGTAGTAGCATACAACATGTACATGTGCGACGACTCGAAGAACGACAAACATGGATCGTTCTGCGTAGGAGCACGTGCCGCAACCTGTACATCGCGAGGTTGTTGGTGAGCAGCGGATGGAGCTGGAGGTTGGGTTTTGATAAAAATTATCACGCTCGGACCTGTCTTTGTCAGCAGCGCTTGGCACCGCGCACCTGAAATTCTCGTCGCAGCTCGGGCACGCTTTCTCTCCCTTACACACAATCATAAAAATGGACGATTAATCAACGGCTATACTGAGCTCATCATCTCTATAGTTGTCATATTTGCGTCACTAGAGTAACACCTGGCACTTTTAGGCTTTTTGCTTCGATTTCTATGTTGCTTGAAGCCACCTGCGTGACCATACATAGTAGCTTTTTTTTTTCGCTGTGTTCCAAGAAAAACATTGCTAGCTTGGACCTGAACTTGTGAGACGAGTTGTTTTCTCGGACTGTGAAGCAGCGACGACGACGACTGCAACACCACCCAGCCGTTATGTGTCTTATGACCGGCTGGCCGACCGACCGGCAACGAAAGAGGATGGCTTCGGCCGTTCGAAAACTAGATCGGCAGCGTGTCTGAGTCGCGCCACTGAGCGCGTCTGCTGCTCATGCGCTGTCGTAAGCTGTCCCATCTCGATAGGCTGGCAGGACGACGATGGACTTCCGGGTGGAATGTTCGAAGCTCAGACAGGGGCATGGTGCCGTATATAGCCCAAAAACGCAGGGTTCTGGAGCTTCTGCGGGTTGCCATGTGTGTGAATGTGGAACGGATGCATTACTCGTCATCGCGTGTGTCAACTAAGGGCCGTACCAAGTCCCCTTTCTGTGCTCATGTTTTGCTTTGCTATGGAATTATTCTTTCTTGGGTAATCTTACATGCGCGCCCTCTTGCCGTCCCTCTTGCCCCCTTTCCCCCCGCGTATTGCTCTCGTGCACGTTCTGCCGCGCCCCGATCTTCGACCTCCGCCCGAACCGCTTCCTCCTTCCAGACAAGATGGCGTCGGCCCTGAACAAGCGCCAGCAAGCGCGTAATGAGCGTACGTTACAGGAACTCATCAAGACAGTTCCAGGCAACGGAACTTGCGCCGACTGCGGTGCGCGGAATCCAGGTAAGTTGTGCAGGCGCATGCTGTCCGGGAGGCCCAATGCTAACCACATCACACAGGATGGGCGAGCTGGAGTGTAAGTCTCCCCATGCAACAACGCGACCGCCAACACAATACTGACGTTTGCTGTAGCTCGGCATCTTTCTGTGCATGCGATGCGCAGCCCTGCATCGCAAGCTGGGGACGCACATCTCCAAGGTCAAGTCTTTGAGTATGGATAAGTGGGACAATGCGCAAGTAGACGTAAGAACCGTCCGACTTCTGCGGCTCGAGTCCGGATGCTAATGCCTGGTTAGAATATGAAGCGCATTGGTAACCTCGAATCGAATAAGACGTACAATCCGCGCAACGTCAAGCCCTCCATACCCATCGACATCGACGAGGTAGACAGTGCTATGGAGAGATACATACGGGCAAAATATGAGCAGAGGATATACTTGGACGCTTCGCGGCCAGGCACGCGACAGAACACGGGCAGTACGAGTTCTGAGGACCGACCACCGCCCTTACCACCCAAGCCGACTGGTCGCTTTGGCTTTGGGCTACGAAAGGCGGCGACATCACCGCGGAATCTGACGCCTCCACTGTCGCCGGGTCTGAGTGGCTTCAGTCAACAAGACCAATCACCTCCACGCATCAACAAGCCTTCCAGGGTCTTCGGTTCCAACATACACACTTCGGGCGATGGCATGGATTCCAAGCTGGCGCAGCTTCGGGACATGGGCTTCCCGGACGACAAGCGCAATTCTACGGTACTGAAGGGACTGAATGGTAACTTGGACAGGGCAGTCGAGGCTTTAATCAGGTTGGGCGAACAGGACCCTGGCAGGTCGAGAGGAAGCACCCCGACACCGGCTTCGCAACCCATGTCCAATGGCATTTCATTCGATAATCTGAACAGCGCACCTGCTACGACATCGTCGACGAACCCTTTCGACGCGTTAGATGCGCCTACTCAGCCTCAGCAGCAGCCACAACTTGCTCCGCTTCAAACCCAGCAGACCTCCTATGGGGGGCCGGCAGCACAGCAGGCCTACTCGTCCAACTCCTATAACCCATTCCTGCAACAATCCTCCCAAGGATATGTTCAGCAACAGGCCCCTCAGCAACAATCACAGCAAAACTACGGCTATCAGCAAAACCCTTGGAATCAACAACAGCAAAACCTGGAACAATCCTTTCAGGGTATGCAAATTTCAAACCCACAGCCTCCACAACCTCTGTTCCCGAACCGAACAGGAGGAGCTGAATCCCAACCTTCATCCTTCCCTCAAACGAACCCCTACAACCAATCCTTCACTCCACCGCCGATGCCGCAAATACCCGAACAATACAGTGCTTTCTTTGCACCGCAACAGCCGCAGTACCAATCCATGTCCAACCCCTCAAGTCCCGGGAACCCCTTCTTGAGATCTTCGCAAAGCCAAATGTTTACCCCGACCAATCTTGCAAGCTCAAATCCATTCGGGCAGTCAGCATTCCAGCAGCAACAGCAGTCTCAACCGCAGTCGGCTCACCCACAGTCGGCTCCACCACAGCAGCAAACGCCCAATCCTTGGTCGCAGCAGCAGCAACAGTCATCTCAATCACAGATAGCTTCCTCGCAGCAGCAGATGCCTAATCCTTGGTCACAACAACAGCAACAACAGCAGCAGCAGCAACAGCAGCAGCAGTACAGCCAGGCTTCAACTCCTCAGACGGCGAATCCTTGGCAACCTCAACAATCGACCTATCAAACACAGGATCCAACTCAAAACTACCAAGCTCAGCAACAAAGTTTCCAGAACCAGCAGCAGCTGTATCAACAACAAAGCTCTAATCCCTTCGACAAGAATGCTTCAATCCTTTCGCTGTACAATCAACCTCAACAGACTACCCAGCAAGCGCCACAGCAACAAGCTCAACCCACAGCTGTGCAAGCTTCAACTCCTGTTGCGCAAGCACCTGGGCGCTCAAATCCGTTTGGTGGTATGTCTGGTGCGCCACAAGGGCAAGCACTATCCGCTGCACAAACACCTGGCATCAGGCATGTCAGCAACGAGAGCGTGGACTTTGCAGGTTTGATGGGTGGACGGCACTCGCCTGACGCTTTCTCGGGCTTGAGCGCGAGCTTTAGGCGGTAGACGGGCAGAACCCCAACGCATAATATTTTAAAATGTGCGCAACTGGCTAAAGCAATTTTTCTTTGTTGATACATCTGGTTTGTAAGAAAGTGTGGTATTGGATATCAGAAAGAAGAGTAGGTAGTGGTAGTAAGACCGACGAGAGTGTAGGTAAGGTTTGCTGTATGATACCTAGCAAGGAGGTGCGCTGCACCACTTTTACATTAATTACTATCTCATTCTACATCTTGACAGATTGAAATCTGCACTGGCTCAAACCTAAGCAAGTCAACTTGTATGCTCTGCTTTCACTCGTTGCAAGAGCTGGCTCAATTTTCTTACTGCGTATGTACTTTCAATCTATCAGACGTCCGGACCCAGGGCTTTACAATCCAGAACTTGGCGACAAGCCATGTATGGCTGTCGAAATTCAAATGTTTTGGGTCACACGGATAAGCTGTGTTCACGTGCAAACGTGAAGCCACTGTGGCTAGACCTCTCGCGTCTACGTCATTGCTCTGAGCCGCGTACCTGACCCTGAACCACCCACCACTCTTCGTATCAACCCGCCTCCTCACTTGTCCAAATCTTGCTTCTTGATTTAGTCACCTACTCAGTCCTCAATTCGACCATAATAGCTCTTCAAGCAACATATCAAGCCTTCCAGATCAGCCAGCACCATGGGTGAGATACATAGCAGCCTGGTAATCTAACTTCAACTAACTTCGAGCAGCTCCCCCAGCAGACTATTGTAGGCACGCATAGCTTCGCGGCCCTTGGTTCCAAGCTCACACAATACCACAGACAAGGTTCTAGAAGTCGACTCCAAGGCGACTCAGCAGCAGATCCGTGATGCCTACAAGAAGTACACCTCGCCCCTCCTTACAAACTTCTTTGCACAAACCCTAAAATACTTTACAGGGCAGCGCTGAAACACCACCCCGATCGTGTTCCATCTGATTCCCCTGAGCGCGCAAGTCGTACGAAGCGCTTCCAGCAAATCAACGACGCCTACTACACGTTATCGGACCCCACGCGACGCCGCGACTATGACGCTGCACGTACCTACAATAGCTTCACAGGCAGCACCGCAACACCAGACGAGGAATTTGACGAGGAAATTCCCAACAATGCAGGTGCAGGCGCAGGTTTTGCCCAAGGCTTTCCGTGGTCCGCATTCGGCTTCGGCAGCGCTCCAGCCGGCAACACAGAAGAATCGCACAACCGCTTCTCTGAAGAGCAGTTTGGCGGTATCTTTGAGGAGATGTTACGGGAAGAGGGCATGGCAGATCAGGATGCGCATCCTACTGGCAAGTTCTGGAGTATTGTGGGTGGTCTGAGTGGAGGCGCTATGGGTTTTATTGTAGCAAACTTTCCTGGCATGGTCGCTGGCGCTGTTGCTGGAAACAGGCTAGGAGCCGTAAGAGATACAAAGGGAAAGAGTGTTTATGCGGTTTTCCAGGAAATGCCGCAGGCAGACAAGGCGAGGTTGCTGAGCGGGCTCGCGGCCAAGGTTTTTGCTAATGTCGTGTCCGGTTGATGGGGCATCAAGAAAAGGGGAGGCACGAAGCGATGGGTTCACATGGGCTGTATGAATGACGATATCCTTGAGAGTTTCTTTGGTAACTTTTTACCTTTTGCTTAGAACGAAAACTATTTATGACACATAGACTTCGTGTTGTCACTGATTCTCATGCTTATAAAGTGAATAGAGATGTATGAAGAAAGTATGTTTGTATCTGTATCTGAACGCCATGCAGGTCTAAGCCTACGCAAAGGAGGGATATCTCTAATAAATAATATGAAAGGCCCAAAATAAAAAGAGGGAAAGCGTGGTGGGAATGCCAACACACGCTTCTCCTCATGCTGTCGTAACGTCGTGCCACAACAAAACAAAAATGCCGCCTTTTACCAGGTGTGACAACCAAGATCCCACCTCTTCCTCATCTCCTCATGTCACCAATCATTCCTACTCCCTGTGAGATTCCCCACGACCCTCGTGATAGTAAAGATATTCTCAACCGTTCCTAGAAGAAAGAGGCGTCAGCCTCCCTTCCGCTTTACATGAACTTGCTTGCCATACTCGCCAAGTTAGCCAGCCCACCGATTCCGCCTGCTACACTCTGCATGTCGATATTGCCGAGTCCGGCCATCATGCCTCCGCCACCATTACTCGGGCCGCTTCGGCTGCTTTCCATGCCATATCCCTGACTACCGTAGTAGCCGCCACTGGCACCTCCACTGCTGCTGTGGTGACCGGAGCCCGAGTACCCGCCTCTTGCTCCCTGTCCACCCATCTCGGGTAGGTTGACACCGAACTGGCGAGCAAGTTTATGGAGGACACCGCCAGAGACGAGCGGCATGATGACCATGAAGAAGACTTTGTAGGGATGGCGTTGAGCGTAGCGCCAAATTTCTCGGAGAAAATGTTGTAGTTTTTTGTAGAGGTGTTGCATGTACGAGTCGCGGGGTGAGCGCTTGTACCGCGATGTTGAGCTGTGGTGGCGCGAGGATGAAGAGTAGGATGAGGAAGCGTAGCCGGGGCGGTAGGATGATGAGCGTCGTGAGGGCGAGCCCGTGGAAAAGGGGTTCCAACTGCTACCCATGGTGTTTGTTTGTGTGGCGTCGGAAGATGATATGAGTAGAGTTGGTTTTGGGAGGAGTGAGGCTGTAAGTGGTGTTGACGATCCTCTGGGGTTGTTTGTTGATCGCGATGTATGTGCGCGAACGACAGTTGTCGGGATGCGATGGTGTAATGTGTACTTGGACGCCCAGCGCATTCAGCGCAAAGTACGTTGATATGGATTTTGCGTGTGGATGAGGTTTGTCGACAACAACGACTATGACTGTGAGTCTTGTGCCAGCGCAACGACGTCCAAAGGTCTAGAAGAGCTGTCGCAACAGAAGTCCGGTGAAGGGAGTGGGTCTCTTGGGCTTCAATCGCCTCCTCTTCGCCTCATTTACAGAGGTTTTCCCTGCTTCCTTGCCCTGCGTTGCCTGACGACGCCCTACCAATCAACTAGATCGGAGCGCGCAACCCAACTCTCAGACTGCTATGACAACACTGGCCACCGTGCGCGAAACAGGATGTAGAAATGACTAGTAGGGAACACGTCAACGGGTAGAAAGACCACAAAATATGGCACGGTTGGGGAATGCGGCGGGCTTGCTGGTGAAGGAAGGAACTTTGGCCAGCTTAAAGATGTGCGCGAACTTGTGGAGCTGAGAGGAGTGATCGTCGCAGCTACCAGACCGCTCTTTGGTGGTTGGGCGGCCTGCGTAGCCCTGCAGGTACCGCCACCTCGATTTATGCCGACCCAGATGGCACTTGTGCAGTGCACGATGATGTGCGTGAACCATGAAAATCACGTAGGTTATTCGTCTTTACGCGAGAAGGATGCTACGCAAATGGTCGTTGAATTTCTTACATCAATATCGATTGATATCTGATACTGCTTCGAGATTCTTGACATGGTTGCGGACAGAATTCTCCTTGTGCAACGGTCGTTTGTGCGCGCACCCCTGTGGCATAAGTGCCTGCAAGACCGTTGGAAATGTTCGAGACCCAGATGCAGCTGCAAGATGCAGATGCAGCACACGCAATATGGCATTCAACAAAACGTGCTAAGGTCTGGATTAAGTCGGCCGACCCGTTCCTGCATACCCTTTTTCCCCGGTCGAGCCACGTTTGACGGATTGAGAGTCAGATCGAATGACTGTTATCGAACAACACACATCAGTGGAGAAAACAATACATATATGTATCAGTACAACAGAATAACCAAGGGCCCACCACATACGTGGCCGTCTTTTACACCCTGTATCTCATGCAATGTCTACGAAAGCAATAATCGATTGGATCACAATTACCAAAACCAAGAGCAAGGCATATCTGTCATGATCAATTAGAGCACGATGCTTTATCCTTTCTTCCTACTTTTACCACTCTTCCGCCGTCTTTCTCCATGTCCACCGCCACTGGCTCTCGCAGCGTCCTGAGCTTGAACTGGAATAGCAGAACTTGATGCTGGAGGTGACAAAGCTGGGTCCGACTGGCCAACATGACTGGCCGCCACAGGTGCTGCTCGCTGAAGCGTCACTGACGCAGGAGTGGAAACAGGAACACGTCGCGGGACTGATGTATAGCTGGCCTCAGATACGCCCGAACTCACTCTCCGTGTATACTGTGGCTGAGGCGAAGCTGTTGAGGAAGAAGACGCCGGACTGAAAGTATGGTACTGATAAGGCTCCACAGGAAACGGCACAAGTCCAGCAGACTGGATGGAAGACGATCTTGTGCGTGTGCCTTGTGGAAGATCAGCCTCGTAAGCAGCTTGCCGAGAGGATATAGAACGACTTTGCCGTGGAGGGGTAGCCGGGCGGTAATCATACTCGGATTCTGGAAAGGCGCCCAACATGTCCCGAGAGAAACTGGCATGCGAAAGCGGGGGAGTATGATGACTAGTATCAAATGCGGAACGGGACGCGGGACTTAAAGGCTCTCGTTCACGATCCAGGTTACCCTGGTAGGCATTGATGGGGGCATACATGGGCTGCCCGTCCGGGCCAGGTATAACGAAGCCTGGTGGCGGTGCACGACTATCTGTAGTGGATGTACGTTTGTGACTGCTAGACTTCTCCTTCTTCGACTTTGACCCGAAGATGGAATTCCGCTGCTGGTTCTTCTTCGACCTGGAGGAACTGCCGTGCTTGCTAGTCGTATCAACGCTGATCATACTTGCGGCATCGTGTGAAGAAGTATTGCTTGGTCGAGACTGGGGATCAGGGCGAACTGCGGTCGATCTTGTGCCATAAAGTCTTGAGTGATACGCGTCTAGCTCCTCTGGACTCAACGATACGTCTGTATTTCCTGCCGCTCTTGCTATCCGAATCTTATCGAGTACTCGTCGGAAAAGTACTTCTTCGTGTTCAGCGGAATTGACATTGTTGCCCATGTCGTCAAGATGACCATCCTGTTGGTCTGGCCAATATGCTGCCTCACCCAAAGCCGATGTCCTTTGCTCCCATGCTCTAATATCCATATCATTAAAGTATAGTTCATCTGGACTGATGCTCTTGCCATTCAAAGCCGGTTGGAACGCCTGACTTAATTCAACGCCACCCTTCTCGTCTTCACTATCCAATTCTTGAAACCTATGAACGTCGTCTTGCACTCCCTCGTAATATCTCCCCACACCCGACGAGCCCCCTTGTGGTCTTCCCCATGGGGGCATAGCGTAAGGAGTTCGCGGCCGACCACCTAGACCGCCTCCTCGGAAAAAGCTGACTCGATGGGCTTGTCCATGAATGCAGCATGGCCCACAACTGTGACACCAGTGGCGCCAATCAGCCAGAGAACTGTAGTAAAGGGCGAAGCCCAGAGTCCAAGAGGAATTGCAATGACGAAAAGCGTAGTGTACAGCTGAGAGGTAGTGGCGCGCCAGCTACCGAGCTGGAGATCATTTCCCTCTAGTTTGCCGATTCCGAACATGCCACCAACTACGAGGCAGATGACGAAGAGAAGCATCAAGTTGGTGAGCAGACTGTAGATGCTGAGCATGACGAAAACAGCGGCATAGTTGCTCGAAAAGTAGCCCAAGTTGTAGTTGACCCTGCTCTGTACCTCGCTAAAGTTGGCGGGCTTAGAAACACGCTTGAAGTCGAAGAACTCGGAGATGGGTCGCAGATTGGCGAACCGAGAGGAGACGGAAGTGTTGCGCAGACCGTCGAAGCGTCCCCCGAGGTTCATCCTGGATGTCAGGGCATCGATGGGAATGCTGAAGCGCGACATGACGGATGGTGTGTTGGCTGTGGATTGAGGGACGGGTGATGCTTGCTGGCGCTGGTCGGGGGTAATGAGGGTCTGCTGTTGTTCTTCAAGATCTTTGGGGGAAGTCATGGTCAGTTTCAGGCGCTGATAGTGGTGAAGAGATCGAGGGAAGGCTGGAGATGTGTCCTCTTGCCAGGAATGAGGTTGTAGTGTTTATAGTGGATGGCTGCCTTACGTTGGGGGAAAGATTCGCGAGAGAGTGAATAAGCTGACGCGGCTGAAGTGAGCGTGGGTGAAGTGGAAGTGGTGTGGGAGGAGAGGGTTGCGTGTCACTGTCCGTACTGGAACTTTTGTTGGCCCCCTGCCGCGAATCCCGTAGTTCAGGGTCGTGCCTGCCCATACAACACAGCCACAGAGCGCTCAAACCGTCAGCCTTGATCCCCTTAGCCGAGTCTCACATGCAAGTCCTGGAGAGGCCACATTTTTTGTTTCGAACTCGGCAGCTTGGGGTGAAAGCGGATAGCAAGAGCACCGGGAAAGGCTTCACTTTATCCCTCGAGCCTGCTACCATTGTGTCTCATTTGTAGCGGTCAGACCGATCGGGCCACGTTCCGTCTCTACAGCGGGCTCACGGCACTAGAACATCTGGCTGCACAGGCCTGCAGCCTCCCTATCACTTTGCTCCAAGACCCGCCAACTTTCCAGGCAACCTCCCGGATCAACCCCAGCCATGAGATCTCACGCGTTGCTCGCATTGGTCTTGTGTCTCTTTGCAGCATTCGCCGCTGCCTGGACCAAAGAGGGTGCGTAGCTTCTCCTGTCGTGTCTTGTCTTCCATTGCATGCTTGCGGCCACATATGCGCCTTCCCCACATGCCTTTCCCCAGCTCCAGCTCCAGCTCCAGCTACGAGCTACTTGCTGACAGCTCCCGGCAGACCACGAAATCTTCCGTATCCGTGACGAAGTTGCCAAAGCAGACGGCGCCAATGTCACCTTCTACGATCTCCTCGGTGTCAAGCCCAGCGCCTCCCAAGACCAATTGACCCAAGCCCTCCGCAAGAAGTCGCGCGAACTTCACCCGGACAAGGCCCGCAAGGTCTTTGTTGCCAACTATGCTAAGAAGAACAACAAGAAGAAGCCAACCAACAAGGAAATTGAGGCACACTTGAAGAAGGTCACCGCCGCCTACCAGCGTCTTTCCGTCGTGGGAAAGATGCTCAAGGGCGCCGAGCGCGAGCGCTACGACCACTTCCTGAGGAACGGCTTCCCAGCATGGAGGGGCTCTGGCTACTACTATGAGCGCTTCCGTCCTGGCCTTGGCTCAGTCATTGTCGGTCTACTCGCTGTCTTCGGTGGAGGCTTCCACTACTTCGCTCTGTTGATGTCATGGACGCGTCGCAGGGAGTTTGCTGAGAGGTACATTCGCCAGGCACGCAAGACTGCCTGGGGTGATGAGAGTGGTCTTCAGGGCATTCCTGGAGTCGACGATACCGCCGCACCTGTCAACGCCGAACAGTTCGACAAGGATTCTGCCGAGGATACACCAGAGGAGCTAGCCCCACGCAACCGTCGCGAGAGGCGCGCTATGGAGAAGGACGCTCGCAAGCCAAAGAAGGTGCAAGCTGTGAAAAAGGCCCGCGCCGATGGCATCAGCACCCCCGTTGAGGCAGAGGTCATCTCTGGTCCTCAAGGAGCCAAGAAGCGCATCGTCGCTGAGAACGGCAAAGTCTTGGTCGTAGATTCCGTCGGTAATGTTTTCTTGGAGATTGAGAATGAGGATGGTATGAAGGGTGAATACTTGGTCGACGTACGTACATTCAACTCTTCGAGACATTCAATAAGCTAATAGCATACAGCCTGATGAGGAGCCTAAGCCTACTATCTACGACACCCTCCTGTTCAAGCTGCCCAAGTTTGCTTACAACCAGTCAGTCGGACGTGTCCTTGGAAAGAAAGAGATGATTGACGCTCCATTGCTTGAGACCTCTAATCTAACCGAAGAGGAGGCCGCCATCCAGAATGCCACCGCGCCCAACCTTAACGGCGAGGCAAGGAAACGCAAGGCCATGGCCAAGAAGGCAAGATAACTGCTTGTGTGCGACATAGCATATGCTGTAATGTTACAAAAGTTTAGCATCTATGTTTGGTTGTTGGTAGACAAAAAGGGTACTGGACTATGCATGTGCGTGTAAGATACAGAGATAGACTACAATATGAGCCACGCGATGCGAAGAGCTTTGGGCACTCGCACCAAATGCCCTGTGTCGCCGAGGTCTTTTCAACTCGTCATGAGTGCATCTGCAAACCAACCGCAGGCCTACATGCTAATCAAAGAAGCATTAGTGTGCGGAGTACATAGCTCCAGCGCTACCAGCACCGACTGTAGTACACGCCGCTTCCAAGTTTCCTGCCACCTCTTTCACCAAGTTCGAAGGAACAACAAGTCCGCAACTCGCTCTTTAACAACGGTTCATTATGGGACTAGTATGTAAATTTACGGGTAATACCTCGAGCTCAACGACCCTGCGATGCGCACACATGCTAAACGTACAAGAACAGAAACTCCTCCCACTCTTTTCAAACGCCGACTAAACGCCAACATGATTAACGAGCATTCATGGATACTTCCCTACGATCATAAGAGAAACGTGACGCCAGTAGTAATAAGAAAGCATGAAGATGGCAGACTCGGACAGTCCCCCCAAACCCGAAGCCGGTACCATAGTCAGAGCAAGTGACGAAAAAGCAACCTGCATGAGATGGTATCACAAGCCAAGCGGTGAACCCGAAAGCAAGGAGACCCGCACGCATGCATGCAAGCAAAACATAAACAAGAATCTCTTTCTCTTTTTCACTTCCTCTTTCCTCGCCTGCTCACACACGGTAATAATCTTCTATCATGGACAAAGTGCTTGCAGACACCGCTCTAGCGCGTTCCACCTCCGCCGCATACGCGAACCGGTATACGCCAAACGGACTCTTCTTGAGCGTACTACTTCCCACGCTCACAGTACGCTGTTTTGCAGGCTGCTGTTCGAGATCCAACTAGAATCGTTCTCTTGATCCGTTGCCGTGGTTCTCGAATAGATCGTCTAGATAACCACTGGGAGTGCGGCCGCCAGGGACATTCGTGCCGCCAGGTACATTCAGCGACAACTGGCTTACGGCGTGGCCGTCTTGGCCGTAGATGCTTCTCGTATTACCGGGTTGGCCGAGAGTTGCAACGCTGTTACGGTTGTATACAGATAGGCCGTCTCGTGATGGTGGCGCGCGAGCATACCCTCCGCGTGACGGTGGCAGTGATGGCGATTCCGGCGGTGACATACCAGATCTTGCGCTAAATCGGTTTCCTGGGGTGGAGAGGGAGAGCGCTGAGAGATTATTGGGGTTCTGGCCTCCAATGTACATCTGTGGTGATCCAGCAGCAGGGGCTGCGTTACCAGATGCGTAGTATCCTGCAGGAAGATAGGTAGAAGATCGGGCCGCTACAGAATCCCGCAAACCGGCGGCACCACCTGCAGTTGGAGAGAAGAACAAGGACGATGCCGATTTCTGTGCTGCAGGCGCACCAGCGAAAGCTTTCGACGACTTGCCAATGGGGGCGGCGTTTAGGTGATCCAGAGACATGGTCGAACTCGCTCCGACCACATTGTACATTCCCCGCTTCTTACCAGGCACTGCTGACATGGCCTTGATATCAGCCATGTTCTGAGCCATGGCCGCCCGCTTGACAGAACGATGCAACGACCACGCAACGAGACCGCGCCACGCCAACACCGCCGCACCGAAGAAGGCGAGAATAGCACCGACGCAGATGAAGACGGTTCCATCTGGAAGATCGGACTTTTGCATAAAGGCAGCACCGGCTGTGTCTGGGACTTTGACATCCGGGATACCGACACCGGCCAGTGTTGGCGCACCTACAAGATTGAAGACGCTCGTAGACCCTGTCTGGGCAGCCGTACTAGAGGGCGCATCTCCTGTTGATGCGGCCTCGGTGGTCTCGGACGTGGCGGCTTGCGATGTGGTTGCAGCTTCTGAAGCCGCTGCTTGTGATGTCTCGGCGGCGGAGGTCTCGGCTGTGTTTGTCGCTGCGTCGCCTCCTGGTTGCGTGACAGTGGACAGGTCGGGTGCGTTCTCGATTTGAGCGAGTACGGTAGGAGCGACAACGAGCAGCAGGCCTGCGAGGCCCACAAAGGGTCGCATCGTGGGTTGTTGTGTATAGGTGTGTGCGGAGGTAGGGTCGCCGATGGGCAGTGTGCGGAAGGGGCCGAGTGGGTTCAGGAGATGGCGTGGTCAAGGCTCGCAGTCCAGCAGGCGTATTTCAAGACTCGATTGGTGAAGGAAAAGCAAGGAGAGGAAGACGCAATCGCAGGTGATATCGATAGGACAGAGAAGCGCCGAAACGAGTGACGGGGAACGAGAGGAAAGGCTGATGGTGGAGTGCAAGACGGGGTCAGGGTAACAAGGGGCGGAGTCGTGGACCCGCTGGCAATACGCGTAGTCTGAGCGCCCAGTTCGCGTGATGTCTGGCCGTATTCGATGTAGACTAGCGATAGGAATTTTATCAAAAGAGACAATAATTAGAAGCAGGTTGCTTTGCACGATGATGGAACAGTCCGCGTGCCAGGCCTGCAAGCAAACGGCTGTTGACGTCTGCACTGGTTGTCTGGCTCAGGGATGCAGGAAAAACATCGGTATGCAGGGCCAACGATGACAGATCCCAACCCAGGAACGTCGCTTCTATTCTGGGACCTGCGTGATTCGAGAGTTTAGGGCTTAGCGTCGAGCTCTTTTCCTCTGTCAAGCCCACCAATCGGCGCCTCGACCCTCCGACGGCCTCGTTCTCTTGGCATCAAAAAGCTGCCGCCCTTATCGATAGCAAAAAGTGGTTTGCGAACAATCCACCAGCACCACACGACTGCGATCCTGACGACTGCGCGAGCCATTACTTTCACTCTCCAACGCTGCATCGCTACAAAGGTAGCGAAACCCAAGGAGCTTCATAGACGACTGAAGCTCGCTGACGAGGGTCCCAGGACCGCGTGCAACCATGGGTGTCGCGAAGAGAACGCGCAAGTTTGCGCAGACGAAGAGAATCGTTGGTATGTGTGGCGTCATGTCTAGATGAGCTTCTGTTAACACTATCAGGTCAACGAGATGCTCGACTGTATGCGACAATGCGCCCCACTGCCGTTTGCGATGTAAGAGCTGATCATACTGCAGTAAGAAGAATCAAATGGCTGGTGAGATAGAAGCAAAGAAGAAGGAGGATGAAAACAAGGCAAAGCGAGAAATGTATGTATCTCGGATTTCGATTTGAGTAAAGAGCAGGCACGACTGACATTTTACAGCCCACAAGTCTCCTCGGCCCTCTTCTTCCAAGCCAACACTGCCCTTGGCCCGCCCTACTCCGTCCTCGTGGACACCAACTTCCTCTCTCACACAGTGCACGCAAAGCTCGAACTCGACAAGGCCCTCATGGATCTTCTCTACGCCAAGGCAACTCCAATCATCACGACCTGCGTTATGGCTGAGCTCGAGAAACTCGGCCCAAAATACCGTATTGCGCTCAGAATCGCTCGCGACGAGAGATGGCAGCGCCTCAAGTGCGAACATAAGGGCACTTACGCCGATGATTGTATTGTGGACAGGGTCCAGAAACACAGAATCTACCTGGTCGCGACAAACGATAGGGATCTCAAGAGGCGCATAAGGAAGATTCCTGGTGTGCCGATTGTTAGCGTTGCAAAGGGCAAATATGTTATCGAAAGGTTGCCAGACGTGCCTGATAGCCATTAAGCTGGGGACAAGGATAATGCGAATAGGGCCAAAATGGGTTATATGCATAGCGAAAGGCGTTCAGGTCATATCAAGCAGTCGATGCTATCTCAACAAGTATTTCCACAATCCTCGAAAGAAAGAATGAATCATCAGCTCACATGTGGTTTTACAAGCAATCCGGAACCTTTTGATGTTTAGGTTCATTTGCATGTACGACGAGTGAAAGCTTGGTATGGATAATTTAGAATGCAGGATCTCTCAGCTACAGACATTCTATATGAGCGTCAAACACAGCGCTCAGCACAGCTACCACCGGCCGAGCGCTGGTCTTCTATCCAGCAATCCATGACATCTACGAACCGGACGCCTGCCCAATGCGAAAGCACCCTACTCGCTCAACAATGCCGAACGCTCCAAACGAAGACGAAAAGTGATGAAGATGTAGAACAGTGAAGGATAAAGATATAGAAGAGAACAGCGCTCTCAGTACACGGAACAGCTTGTCTGGGCCCGAGTAAGAGCCTGCGTGAACATAGTCTGCATGGCCATATAGTGGAAGATGATACCTCCCAGCACAGCAACATGCCAGATATTGTGGGAGCAGCCTACGTAATCGAAGAAGCCGGGAAAGAAGCGTTCGGGCGTCTTGCTCGCATACAACAATGCACCGGTAACGTACACGAGCAAACTCTTAGTGACGGGCGCGTAGAAGTACTGTGCCCATGCGACGCCACGGGTATACGCGAGCTGGCCAAAGGGCAGGAAGCCAGTCAGGGCGAGGGAGCAGTAGAAGAGAACACGGAGCCAGGCCATGTCCGCTCGATTGAAGGTCGGATGCCAGGGTAGAATAACACCGCCAACGCCGAGAAGTGCTGTTATGCACATGTATGACCAGCGCGAGACGGGTTCGCAGTAGAATGCGGCGTATTCAGTCGTCATGATAGATGCGGCGACGAGCAAAGAGATACCAGTGTAGTCTACACAGGCGAAGCGTTCAAGTAATGTTTGGTGTGATATGCTGTTCATCGTGTGCCAAATGGTCGAACAAGCCAGGCATTTGCATGCCGCAAAGAAGAAAACTGCCGCTATGAAGATGTCGGCCTTGGTCGACATGCTGAAGTTGGCACTCGAAGGGTAGAAGTAGAAGGCAATGGCAAGAACCATGATGAATCCAAGGAGATGTGTCCAGATATTGATGAGCTCGTTGTGGAGGCCGAAAATGGATCGAACGCAAGCCCACTTTCCTTCTTGAAAACGGTAGCCCTTGAGGATATGTGGGTTCACTCGCCATGGCTCTGGTAGATCCTCGTAGTGTATCAGGCCGTGTGCTTTGGCTCGCTCCAAGGCCCGTTGGACGGCGTGCTCAACTCGGAGTTCAATCGTTTCACGCGCGCGTCGTGCCTTGTCTAGACCACCGTCCACAACACCCTTTGCGATCTCGATTCCCTCGTCCATCTTTCTCCGACCTTCCTCATAGAATTCCTGTGCATAGGAACCGATCGATCCGTCTCTTATGGCGTATGCGCGCGTCTCAAACTCGGTCAGATAGTTGTCCATAAGCACTATTCCTTCTAAGACCTTCTCTCCTAGGGTCTCTTTCCGTTCCATCGCATCTTTGTACCGGCCCTCCAATGTCTCGACGAATACGGAAGCCTGTCGTCGTCCAGCCTCGATTGCGCCATCGGATATCTTCGAGCAGGATTCGCGAACGGCAAGCAGGGTGTTGTATGCGTATTCGACACCGGCGTCGTACTTGAGGTGGCCATAGTCTTCCAGAAAGTCCATCCGGCAATTAAGTTCGACCAAGAAGTTTCGAAGCTACATACTTGTTAGTACATGGTAAGCGCATACGTACTGGTTTACTTACTAACAACTGGAAGTTCTCCGCTTCCTGCATGCAGGGTCGTGTATGCCATGAGTGACGTCTTTGGCGTTGTGCAGGTCTCTGGGGAGCCATTGTGCCGTAACCTCGGTACGTGGGTTGTATAGGCTCTTCTTGTGAAGCCATAACTGCTGTGCTTACCCCAACGCTCGAGTTCGAGCGCGGCATGCGGGGCATCGTTATATAAGTCTGGCGCGAAGCTGCGGGGGGCTGTTCGAGGCGTGGCGATCTTTCTCGTTCGACGTTCCAATCGATATCGGGCCCAAATTACGAGGGTACAGCAAGGCGCGGGGAGGTAAGGCGATTGGCTGATATGCGCATGTGCACAGAACGTCTCTCTGGCTGGGTGACCGCCTCTGCTTGTGGTGTTGGGAAAGATAAATAGTGAGGATGTGGGTCTTTTTCTCCGCCTATCGGGGTGACTAGCAACGGGCGTGGTTGCCGAAAACGTCTTTGGTTGGACAACACAGTCCTGATGGGGCGAACAACTAGAGGGAGCAATGTCTTCTTGTATTGTACAGAATGGGGTCGAAGCAAAGGCACGGGAGAGTCAATTGAGCGCATAGCGTACATGCATGGGGTCCGAGTGTTGGCGTCGTCATGGGGCTACCGCGGTCAATTCACTGTCGGGTTCCTGACAGTAGGACCCTTTATTTCTGCGGCTCTTGTAGGGCTGAGATGCTGCATTTTTCAGGTGGCAGTGAAGGACTCCATCCAAAGTGTCTGTTCTGTCTCCTTTGACACAGATATCGCTCAGGATACTCGTTACACAGCAGAAATGAAAACTTGACGGTTCATGTTTGTCCGGCTCGAACACTGAGGGCCGTCGACGGCCTCGCCTATACCGGCAGGTGCGTCGCTTGGTGGCTGAACCCGGCCTTGGCAATGAGCCACACGTGGCTTGATTCCGTCATCGCGTGCCGTCATCCCGAGGGGACAAGACTTACGACCTTTGGCGGAGCAGCGGATGGTTGATACCAGGCTATAGACCGTAAATGCTTCGTTTGTATTATGCTGTGTAACTTGCTTTGGGCCGCACGCATGTTTAGGCCCAGACGTTCCCACGTGCTAGCGCCAATGTCCGCGGTCTCCGCGGGACGGGGCTATTGAAACCCAACGCTCACCATCTTGGCATTTAATTTTTTGCGGCACGTTGGAGTGATACACCAAACTATCGACTTTTCGAAATGGTACTCCAAGCTATCAAATACTCGCGCGGCCAGCTCGAGATTCTCGACCAGCTGAAACTACCCCACGCTGAAGAATATGATGGCATCTACTCCAGCACTGATGCATGGCACGCAATCAAGGATATGCGAACGCGAGGAGCGCCAGCTATCGCCATAGTCGCTGCTCTCGCTCTCGCAGTTGAGCTCACAAACACGAAGCTTTCTTCAGTAGCAGAAGAAGTCAAGATTTTCATTACAGAAAAACTGGACTACCTGGTAACGAGCAGACCAACTGCCGTCAACCTTGCAGACGCAGCTAGCAAGCTTCGAAAAATTACCGAGGAAGCTGCTGCGAGTGAGGGAGCAAGTGGAGAAGCCGTGAGAGGAGCATATGTTGCCGCTGCCGAGAAAATGTTGGTCGACGACGTGAGCGACAATGAGAATATCGGCAAGCATGGCGCGGAGTGGATAATGAAAAATACGGAGGCAGGAAAGACGGGACCTGTGAGCATGATGACACACTGCAACACCGGGTGTGTACGATTCTGCATCAGAGATTTTCAACTGCTAATCGTACAGATCTCTCGCAACTGCAGGATATGGTACAGCGCTTGGAGTGATCCGATCTCTACATGCCAATGGATCGTTGAAGCACGCCTTCTGCTCTGAAACGCGACCATACAACCAAGGCTCCAGACTGACAGCATTTGAGCTGGTCCACGACAAGATACCGGCAACTCTCATCACAGACTCCATGGCCGCAGCGCTGCTCCGACTACGGGGTGGAAGCGAGAATATTGCGGGTATCGTGGTTGGTGCTGATCGGGTGGCCGCAAATGGTGATACTGCCAACAAGATTGGAACCTATTCATTAGCCATTCTTGCAAAGCACCACGGCGTCAAGTTCCTGGTTGCAGCACCGAGGACTACTATTGACCTGAAGACCGAATCGGGGTCAGACATCGTCATCGAAGAACGCCCCGGGAAGGAAGTGACGCTCGTCAAAGGACCGAGACACGATGGAGTCACGCTAGATCTTGGTGTTGTTGAGACTATCAGTATTGCAGCCAACGGTATCGGTGTATGGAACCCAGCTTTTGACGTCACACCTGCAGAACTTATTGATGGTATTATCACCGAGATAGGTGTGGTTGAGAAGGACAGCAATGGTGTGTTCCATTTGGATGAAGTCTTTAGAATGGAGGGTTCCGAAGTAAAGCCCTCGACTGTCGGTGGCTTGTGAACAGGTGCCCAAGAGCACGTACAAGCGCATGATATGCCCCCTTAATGCTAAGACTCCAACATGTCCATTCTGCTAAGAGCGCATTGATCATGCTTGTATCCATCCTCGCTCGTGTCATCCATCATGCGCATGAGAACGAGGGTACTCGGTCGTTATTCTCGTAGTATTCACGGCGTGCTTGCAATATATCCGACCCAGAGTTGGTGCAGGGTGTACATGGTTCATATCGCAGAGCAGACGCATGGCTTTGTAGATGTTATTTGGCATCCTTTTCTTCGGTTCCGGAAGACTTGTCAGGATCTTCCGGAGTATCTTTCAGCTCTTGCTCGGCCTTCTCGGCTTGCGCCAGGAGTGCCTCAATCTTTTTTTCAATAGAATCGAGGTGGCTCTCCAGGGCGGCTGCGGTCTGTTCGCCTCGCTGCAGTTCCTTGAACGCCTACCCGAGCTGTTAATTCCCAAAGTACAGCGATTGCCATAAAACTCACTTGGGCAAGATCAGCCTCGGAATGCGATGCAGCATCTGCGCCGTTCTGTGCGTTCGACATGATGAAGATGATGTAAGAGTAGTGGATGTCGGGTCCTGGTGCTTACCGACGAGGCAAGCGCGTCTTCGAAGATGACGACTGAAGCACCTTAGCGCGAACTTACCCTGGGACCTCCAGGGCTGCGCGAGCAGCACAGACTCTCAACCTCCCTCATTACACCTTTCGCCATTCCCGCCCGTACGCGCTCCTTACATCTTTCTAGTTCTTGTACCGCATGCGCGCATCTCCACTGCTCTAATCGACCCGCGATAACTCGCCCGCCATGTTCTCTGGGTCCAACTCGTACCTAGGGGGTGGGAACAGTGCCCGACCGGGGCAGCCTCAGTATGGGCAGCAGCAGCAACAGCAGCCCTTCCAGCAGCCTGGAGGCTTTCAGGGTGGATTGGCACCTCAGCCGACGGGATTCGGAGGTGCTCCAATGCAACCACAGTTTACTGGCTTTCCGGGCCAGCCGCAGGGCTTCGGACAGCAGCCAACGGGCATGCAACCGCAGTACACAGGCTTCCCAGGGCAGCAGAACCAGCAGTTCCAGCAGCAGCAGCAGGCTACCCAGCAGATGCCCTTCCAGACTGGCGCGCCGCCGCAACAGCAGCAGCAGCAACAACAACCGCCTGCTCAACCGCAACGGCCGCAGCCCACAGGCATGACATCAGCCCAGATGGCTGATTCATTCCGCGGCAGCTCTGCGTCTTCAGTGCCACCACCCGTTCCTGCCAAGACGACCAAGATCCCGAACATACGGCTGTCCTTCATCACGGCGCAAGACCAGGCCAAGTTCGAGCAGCTGTTCAAGTCGGCTGTTGGGGATGCCCAGGCTTTGTCCGGAGACCAGGCGCGGGACCTCTTGATGCGATCCAAGCTATCTGGCGATGCACTTTCCCACATATGGTACGTCCAGCAACTTGCCCGCATAATCCAGTGCTAACAAACATAGGACCTTGTCGGATACGACCAAGTCCGGCCAGCTCCTGTTTCCCGAATTTGCGCTCGCCATGTACCTTTGCAACCTCAAGTTGACCGGCAAGGACCTGCCCAACTCCCTCCCCGAACGAGTTAAGAACGAGGTCTCTAGCATGGTGGATATCATATCGTTCGGAGTCGGCGACGATTCGTCAAGCCGCCCAACACCGGCGAGCAATGCACCAAAGTTCAACGAGCCTCCTACAATTCAGCAGCCCCAGCCCCAGCCATCGAACAGCCAATTGTTGAATACGTTGGTCACACAGCCAACTGGATATGGACAGCAGTCAATGGGCATGCAGCCACAACCTACAGGTTTCGGACAGCAACCGACTGGTATGCAGCCGCAGCCCACTGGCTTTGGACAGGCCCCTGGTGGCTATAATGGACCACGTCCACCGATGCCTCCGATGCCTACCGGCTTTGGCTCAAACCTCGCGCCTAATCAGACCGGCATGGCACCTCTCAATGCGCAGCCAACCGGGATGCCAGGTCAGTGGGGTCTAGCCAATACCCCAGTCACTGGATTGCCAAACATTGAAGCTTTGGCGCAACGAATGATGCCTCAGACTGGCCGGGAGGGTGGTAACCATACGACTGCCGGTTTGACTGGCAACGCCACGATTCCCTGGGCCATTACGAAAGGAGAGAAGAAGCTGTATGATGATACTTTCCGAGCCTGGGATGGTATGACCAAGGGCTACATCAGTGGAGCGCAAGCCCTTGAAATTTTTGGACAGAGTGGACTGCCCAAGCCAGATTTGGAGCGCATTTGGACCCTCGCCGACTCTGCTGACAGAGGTCGTCTTGACCTAGATCAGTTCGCGGTTGCCATGCATCTGATCTACCGTAAGCTCAACGGCTACCCCATCCCCGCTCGTCTCCCCCCTGAGCTGGTGCCACCATCTACGCGCAACATCAATGACTCTATTGGTGCGATGAAGAACTTGCTACGTGGAGATGCCGAGGACAGGAAGAACTCTGGTGCTTTCCTTCAGCCTCAGCGCACTGGTGTTAGCTACCTAAAGTCTCACTCGTTCCGCGCTGGTAGTCCGCAAGCCGGTGGCCGAAAGGATGCTACAGTTTTCCGTAACAACGACGATAATGTAGGCTACAAGTCGAGCGCTAGACATCGTCTTGGTGGTGGCGGTCGCTCGCCTTCACCAGCGCAGCCGGCTTCTCCTTCTTCAGAGCGATCTGACGAGATGTCACTTGACCAGCTGAGAAAGTCTGTCAAAGAGAAGCAAATCTTGTTGGATGCCATGGATACACAAGACGAGAACGCAGCCGATGAAGACGATGCGCTGGACCGCCGAGACCGCCGAGAAGCTGAGGATCTCTACCGCCGCATCCGCAGGGTACAAGAAGACATCGATGCCCATCCCAAAGCTTCACTTAGATCGTCTGACTCGGATGCTGAACGTCGTGCCCTGAAGCGCCAACTACAGACCTTGACTGATCGCTTGCCTGAACTTGCGTCCAATGTTCGCAGAACAGAGCGTGAGATAGCAGACGCCCAACTTGAGCTGTTCAGACTCAAAGATGCCAAGGCACACCCTGGATCCGCATCTACCATCGTGGGTACTGGACCTGGCGGTGCGGTGACTGAATCCGACCGTCTGAAAGCTCGCGCTAAGGCTATGATGCAGGCACGCTCTGCTGCATTGACCGGAAAGCCTGCTCCTGCTAGCGATGACACTGGCGCTGCAACTGAGCGCTTGGAGAAGGAAAATTCGCGCATCAGAGCAGAGAGGGAGAACAATGAGCGTATGATTCGTGATGTTGAAGACAGTGTGAACGAATATACTAGGGGCCTAGAGTCGAGCTTGAAAGAAGGAGGGCATGACAATACAAGTGAGCATGAACGACGCAGATGGGAGGAGGCTCTAGGTGTGGAAGATGACGTTAAGGACTTCATCTTTGATCTGCAGCGCAGCAGCCGGGCTTCGCGCATCCGCAAGGACGAGTAAATATTATCCGATAACTTTGGCAAGCATCTTGCTAACCTCCCACAGTAAATCCCGCGATAACTACAGGGCCCGTTCAGAGGAGAGACGGCCAGCAACATCTCGCTATGAGAGCCCTGCTGCTCGTGTCGACCCCCCTCCTCGTGCATCAACAACTACACCCGGCGGTGGGTCATACTCGGCATATAAGACTCCAGAAGAACGTGCGGCATTCATCAAGCAACAAGCTGAGCAACGCATGGCCGAGCGCCTAGCTGCCTTGGGTATCAAGGCTCCTGTCAAAGCTGGCGAGACACCTCAACAGCGTGCCGATCGCGAGAAGAAAGAACGTGAAGAGAAGCTGCGTCAGGCCGAAGAGGAAGATGCGCGTCGCGAAGAAGAGCGTCAAAGACGTCTCAATGACGAGTCCGCAGCACCACCTGCTCCGACTAAGAGCAGCGGCAAGAAGCCCGCACCGCCACCCCCAGCTTCGCGTAAGAACAAGACAGATGTTGCGCAGCATGATGTGCAACAGGCGGAAGCAGAGTCGAAGAGAGCAGAGAATGACATGGCTGAGAAGGCTCTTCGCGAACAGCAGGAAGCACAAGAAGCTGAGACAAGGCGCATGGAGTATGTATACATTGATCTATCCTCTACGTCTATACTAATAAACACTAGGGACGAGGAGCGTAGACAAGAGGATGAACTTGCCAAGGAGCGGGAATCCGCTCAGGCTAGGCTTCGTGCCCTGGAAGAGCAAGTTCAACAAGGTAAACTCAAGAAGGCTGAAGAGAAGAAGCGCAGAGAAGCTGCTTCCAAAGATGCCAAGGAGAAAGAAACTCGACTGGCCGCGCAGCGCGCTGAGATTGAAGCTGCTCGTGAGCGCGAACGTCAGCTGCAGATGCAGCTTGAGGCGCTCGACGACGACGAGTCCTCGGATGACGATGGCCCGCAGAACATCACGCCTCAGGACACTACACCTACCGCGAGTCAAGAGTTGCCGCGTGATACTGCACCTCCACAAGCACCATCAATCCCCCAACTTTCGCACAACACACCACCATCGTCCATCGCCAGCCCGCCTGCGTCTTCGGTGACCAGTCCTCACCCTGGCTTAGGCGACACTGAGACCAAGAACCCATTCTTGAAGAAGATGGCAATGTCGAACCAGGAGAACAGCACTGTCTCGACACCTCCGCCCCCGCCGAGCAATACAAGCGAGGTGTCCACGAACCCTTTCCACCGTCTTACTCAAGAGCAAGCCAATAAGGCTGCTGCGCCTACATTCAATGAGCCTGCTCAACCTTCAGCGCGCAGACTAAGACAAGACGATGACGACTGGTCTGTCGTCGACTCAGACGACGACGACTCATCCGACGATGATGAGGCACCACAAGGTGGCGCCAAGCAGTTGGCTTCCATGTTGTTCGGTACCATGGCACCACCACGTCCACTTTCCTCTATGGACAACAAGAGCCCGCGTGCTGAGAGTCCAGCTGTGACATCACCGCCCGTTGGTATCCCACCACCTCCTCCTATGCCTACGAGC